GGCAGGAGGCCGTTCTAGCTCTGGTCGTTCGGTGGTCTGCTCTGCCCCCCTTTGCAGCCCAGCTTTCGTTTGCCGAGTCCTGACCGGAAGGGCGAGTCGCTGCTGGCCAGTCCAACTTCGGCGAGCCCTGCCCAGACTGGAGTGCGCTGCTTGCCGACTCCGCTTGCCCGCAAAGCGCCGGCAGCCGTCTGCTTCGGTGACGGCCTTTTGGTCCGGGGGCCGCCGGGAGAAAAAGGCCAGCTTTGTACACGTGAGGAGCTGGCCTCCGAAAAAAGAGCCGCCAAGACCCCTTGTGCCCGTTTCCCCCCCCCCCCCCCAACAGCTGAAAGCTTTGGGGTCTCAGCCCAGATAAGCTCCGGGGTGATCCGGGGCGGCCCTGAGGCAAGGTTCCACGAGGGTTCCACCAGGGTTCCACGAGGGTTCCACGGGGTTCGCGAGGGCTGCGGGGTGGTGCGAGCACTAAAAAGCGCTGCTGTTGGGGATATCGCCTGAGTTTTTTTTGGGGAAGGGGGCAGAACCAGGCGATGATTGAAATGATCTGAATGCGCTTGATGATGATGCTGAGGCCGATCATGATGATGCTGCGGGTGTCCCGTTCCCAGCATCCGCGTCCCCGGTCCGCATCCCGTGTCCATATTCTGTGTGTGTCCCGTATCCATTAATATAAATAGATACATATAACAGCCCAGCTGCTCAGACAATCGGAAAAAGCCCTCGGCCTCCTTGGCCTTGGTCCATCTCTCTCAAATTTCAAGGCGCGCCGGGCAAGCTGTTCAGAGGTCGCAGAGCGAATCAAGGTCACTCAATTTTATACGGAGCCATGGAGGCCGCGCGAGGTTGCACGTGCTACAAGAAACCCCCCAGCTCCGGCGCATCTCGCAAGATGACCCGGATGTGTCCCGCCCGCTTGCTCGAAAGGGCCTCAAGTGGGGGCGGCGCTAGCCTCCGAGAAAAACAGCGGAAACTTGCCTCCAAAAAATTAGCCTGCAAATCCTTTGTGCCTGGCCCTCCGTTTCTGGTTCCTTTCTTCGCCTCCCTTTCGTCGGCGGTTTCTGTGTCGCCTGTGCCCGGCTCCTAGTGGGTAGCGGGGAAGTCACACCACTGAAATTTGCCCTATCTGAAAAGCCCTGCCAGCTCGACTGTTTTTTTTTGGTTTCCGTCGTCCTCGCCCGCCTGCTCCTGCCGCAGCGTCCAGTGCTCCAGCGCCCGGAGTTCGAGCTTTTTTTAGTGTGTGATGTTTGCCCAGTGTCACCTGTTGCGGTGTTGCCCAGTTACGGGTTTGAGTGAGTGACCTTGTGTCCTTCTGCCAACTTGCGCCGCACCCGCAGGTCGCCCAGTTGCTCGCCCGGGCGAAGTTTCGCCTAGAAAATTGTGTCCATGTTCGCCGTCTAGGGGCGCGCTACTGCGTTTCCTGTGTGTTTGATAGTGGGGGTGAAAAAGAGAGTTGACCCTGCGCAGCGTGTACGCCGTTTTGCCCGACCTGAGACGCGTGCGCAACTTTGAGGGTTTTCCAAGATATGAACAGCGCACGTACCTTCGCGCGCTAGGTTGTGCATATATGGGTGTGGGATGGTGTGGGTCAAAAGTACGTACCCTGAATGGAACCCTGGTAAATGGAAACAAAGAGTAAAACCTGCACCCCCCTGATGGTTTTATTCTGACCATATCATCTCCTAGCTTGATTGCCTCCGACTGAGAAAGACGCGCAAGGTGGACCTGCGCAACAGCATTGCTGGAATCAATGTTCAGGGCACGATGCCGTTGCCAACGCTTTTCGAGCACCGTGTTTCTTCATCCTTTGTCGCTTGACTCTGTTTCTTTGTTGTTTTTGCGAATGTTTGTGCGTTGGCGCAGAGTCTGATGCGCCCAATTCTAACCCGCCCAGAGTGTCCAGATGCGGCCTGGAAATGCGCGTGGGTTTTGTTTTGTTTTGTTTCCTTATTGTCGGGAAGGAGTGCTTGTCGTGACGGAAGTTTCTCCACCGAATGCAAGCCAAACTCAAGAATTCCATGGATTCGAGCAGGGTTGAGGCCTGAACCTGTTTAGACAGCCCAAGACTGCAACGCGCTGTTTCTCACATGTTGTCACTTGCCATTCCAGCTACAGGCAGCAAGAACGATTCCGGGCAGAAACCGCAAAAGATTTGGTGCCACTTGTCCCCTTTTTTAATCGCACACTTGCAGTTACCCACACCCCGGCCAGTGGGCCGCTAACGCGTAGCATTGCTTTGAAGACACCCACATACGGCGTCATGGATGTCCACATGCATGGCTCCGATCCTGAAGCCGGAGTGCCAGTCCTCAGCGACGGCACGGACAGCGCGCATCTGCGTCCGCAGGCCGCGCAGTTGGACGGCATGGGGGTTTGTTTTGCAGAAACAGCGCCCGCACCACCCTCACACTCCCACCCACACGCACAGACGGGTGGACGGATTCATTTGTCTCCCGTTGTCTCCCAGCCTAGATGTGTGGCACTCACGCTCCGCGGTTTCCTTCACTTCCCGCGGTTCTGTCCTTTTGGCGGCACAAACAGAGACACACACACACACACAGAGACACGCACGCAGACACTGACACACACAGTCAGACACACAGACACAGACACGCACCACAGACACAGAGACACACAGAGACACACAAACACACGCACAGACACTAAGAGAGACACACGCACAGAGGCGCACAGACACACGACGCACGCCCACGCACACCCAGACCCACACCAGCACACAGGCACCCGCACCCACACGCACACAGGTTTGTTTCAATATCACGGCGTGGACGGCCAAAATTGTTTGGGGCGATCCGGTTTTCCAAGCGAGAAGCGCTGGCCCCCCCCAACCCCAACCAAAAAACACAAGAAACAAAACAGCGCCAACAAAATAACCACAGGGCAACAACAAAACAAGACCAGACACCCACGCGCTCGTTGCGCATGTCAGGATGCAATTGGACACGCTGAGTTGGCAAACCGCGGCGAGGCAGGTGCGGCATCGGCTTCGGTGTCCCCTCACGCAGCGGGTCTGCGGGAACCGTTGTTGCCCAGTGCCTCCAACGCCCCTTGGATATGCTGTGGTGTCCGCGCTGGCCACCAGAATAGGTTCAAAACATGAAGAAAGAAGAAGAACCAGCCATGCCCCAGCTCATGTCGACACTCTTGAGGGGCAAGGTATGGACAGGGAGCCGGGGACAAGTTGATAGTCAACCTTAGGCGGTGGTTTGATTTGGATGTTTTGCGCCCAGGATGACATGGATTCGGGGAACGAGGCGCCCTCTGGAGCACCTCGCAATGAAGGGTGCAAGGGTGGGAAGCTTTTGATGCTGCGTTGTGCGGAGCAGCGCGTGTGATTCGTAGTGCGGTGAGCTTTCCCTTGTCGTTTGTTCTTTGACATTTGACTGCTGCTTCTTGATTGCCCAGTAGACACAACCCATTTGACAGATGCAACCCTTTCGGCATGCAACGGCATCCGCCGTCAGTAGGTAAGCGCCGGCACACACCCCCTGGAGTCTGTGACCTTGTAGAGAAAGGTGAGCCTGATGAAGCCCACCGTTCCCAGTTTGATCAAATGTATGCACATATAAATATGTCTCTGTATCTATGTATTTATGTATCTATGTATGTATGCATGTATATATCTCTGTATCTATGTATCTATGTATCTATGTATGTATGCATTTATATATATCTATGTATCTATGTAACTATGTATCTATGTATGTATGCATGTATATATCTCTGTATCTATGTATCTATGTATCTATGTATCTATGTATGTATGCATGTATGTATCTATGTATGTAATGTATGTAAATGTATGTATGCATGCATGTATGTATCTATGTATGTAATGTATGTATGTAATGTATGAATGTATGTATGTATCTATGTATGTATGCATGTATGTATCTATCTATCTATGTATCTATGTATCTATGTATGTATGCATGTATGTATCTATGCATGTAATGTATGTAAATGTATGTATGCATGCATGTATGTATCTATGTATGTAATGTATGTATGTAATGTATGAATGTATGTATGTAGGTAGGTAGGTATGTATGTATGTATCTATCTATGTATCTATGTATGTATGCATGTATGTATCTATGTATGTAATGTATGTAAATGTATGTATGCATGCATGTATGTATCTATGTATGTAATGTATGTATGTAATGTATGAATGTATGTATGTATGTAGGTAGGTATGTATGTATGTATGTATCTATCTATCTATCTATCTATCTATCTATCATGTATGTATCTATGTATGTAATGTATGTATGTATGTATGCATGTATGTATCTATGTATGTAATGTATGTATGTAATGTATGTATGTATGTATGTAAATGTATGTATGTATGTAATGTACGTGTGTATGTGTGTATGTATGTAATGTAATGTAATGTATGTATGTATGTATGTATGCATGTATGTATGTAATGTATGTATGTATGTCTGTCTGTATGTATGCATGTAATCTAATGTAATGTAATGCAATGTAGTGTGGTGTAGGGTAGTGTAGTGCAATGTAATGTAGTGTAATGGAATGCAATGCAATGCAATGTAATGTAATGTAATGTATGTATGTAATGTATGTAATGTATGTAATGTATGTAATGTAATGTCTGTAATTCATGTAATGTATGTATGTATGTATGTATGTAATGTATGTATGTAATGTAATGTAATGTAATGTAATGTAATGTAATGTATGTATGTATGTAATGCAATGTAATGTAATGTACTGTATGTAATGTAATGTAATGTAATGTAATGTAATGTAATGTAATGTAATGTAGGTTTTTATGCATGTGTGTAATGTATGTATGTATGCATGCATGTATGTATGTAGTGTATGTCATGTATGCAATGTATGTATGTATGTAATGCATGTAATGTATGTAATGTATGCAATGTTTGTAAATGTAATGTAATGTATGTAATGTATGTATGTATGTATGTAATGTGATGTGATGTAATGTAATGAAATGTAATGTACTGTAATGTTATGTTATGTTATGTTATGTTTTATGTATGTATGTATGTATGTATGTATGTATGTATGTATGTATGTATGTATGTAATGTATGTAATGTAATGCAATGTACTGTAATGTAATGTCATGTAATGTCATGTAATGTATGTTGTATGTAATGTAATGTAATGTAATGTAATGAAATGAAATGTAATGTAATGTAATGTAATGTATGTATGTATGTATGTAATGCAATGTAATGTAATGTGCAGTATGTATGTAATGTAATGTAATGTGCTGTAATGCAATGTAATGTAATGTACTGTAATGTAATGTAATGTAATGTATGTATTGTATGTAATGTATGTAATGTATGTTATGCAATGTATGTAATGCATGTAATGGATGTATGTATGTACGTAATGTATGTATGTATGTATGCATGTATGTATGTAATGTATGTATGTATGTATGTATGTATGTATGTAATGCAATGTAATGTATGTATGTAAGTATGTATGTATGTATGTATGCAATGTATGTATGTATGTATGTATGTATGTATGTATGTATGTATGCATGCATGCATGTATGTATGTATGTAATGCATGTAATGCATGTAATGCATGTAATGTATGTAATGTATGCAATGTATGTAAATGTAATGTAATGTAATGTAATGTGATGTGATGTGATGTAATGTAATGTAGTGTAAAGCAATGTAATGTAATGTAATGTAATGTAATGTATGTAATGTAATGTAATTTAGTGTAGAGTAGTGTAATGTAATGTAATGTATGTATGTAGAAGCACATAAATAATGTTGTGCATTGGCTGGCCGGCTCACTCTGTAGGATTTGCAACACACATATTTATGAATTGGTCGCAGCATTTTAGTTTTCAGCCACATGCCTGGCTTGAGTTCTGTGGTTTTCCTTTCAGCAACCTTTCTGCAACTGAATCAGTTCGTGGGTGTGTTGTGCTTTCGCTGAACAGTCGAATGTTTTCTCATGCGGAAACGCCGGCGACATTGCTGGCGAAGACATGTCTCACTGCATATCGGTTCTGGGGTCGCAGCCTACGTTTTGACTTGGTATTTGTGACACATGTGCATGTTTACCACCTTCCCGTCTTCAATGACAAAAGGTTTTGGCAGTACACGTTATTCAGGTTGGAAATGCTTTATCAAATCAGTTGCAAATTCCAAGCCACCCACCGGTCCCACTTGTTTGACGTTTCTTGATTTTTCGCCATTCGCTTCACTCCCCCATGGGTCTCCACCCCAGCGCCCAGGAGCTGCGACGCAGGGCGCTGCAGAGGATGACGTGGCGCCGCACCAGCCCCTTCTCCTGCGAGCTGCTCACCGACTGTGCGCCTTGTCGGATCCAAACGCTCTGGATTTTGCATTGCGCATTTTTCCTCATCGCCCGGCAGCTGGCTGTTCTTACAAAGCCGAACCGAAGCTCTGGTCCTTCGTTTCTCATTGACGCGTGTCTGGGCAGCTAAATTGGCAGCTCAATCGACATAACCGGACTGCCTGAAGTCAACATAGCTAATCGGTGGGCAAGGCTTGGCAATGACACTATGCACAGAATAGGCAACATCCAACATCTTGAGTAAGGCGGTGGCATTTTTCTTGTTGTAGCAATTCGCCAACGCGTACATGCTTCCCACAGAGGGTAACGGTCAGATTGGCCATTCAAGAATTAGATAGAATAGGAGTAGATAGGTTAGGTCGATTAGAAGATTAGTTCGACTAGATAGGCTGGCTAGATTAGATCGGTAAGATAGACTAGATAGATGTGCAGATTAGATGAATTAGATGTAGAGCAGATAGCTTAGATAGATTGGATAGATTAGATGGTGGGTAGGTAGATTAGATAGATTGGATCGACTGGATAGATTAGAATGATTTAAGTTAGCAGAATAGGTAGATTAGAACTGGTCGATAAGAAAGTAGATCGAGACGGTGGACAGATGAATTAGAGACAGATAGATTAGATAGATTGGATAGGTTAGATAGTTTAGGTAAAGTAGATGGCTGATAAGGCAAATTAACAGGTAGTTAGAGATAGATTGGTTGATAGGTTTGATATATTAGATAGGTTAGATAGGTTAGATAGACAGATGGCACGATAGATAAATGAGAGAGATAGCCAGATAGATCGATTAGATTAGACTAAGTTAGATGAGGTTCGACAAGATATGTTAGATAGATTAGATAGATGACGAGATAGAGATAGAGCAGGATATTGCATAGATGAGAGATTAGACAGCTTAGAGAGATAACATAGATTAGGTGCATTAGACAGATCAGATAGACTAGATCGATTAGAGGAGATCAGATCAGATAGCAGAATAGGTTAGACCGTTAGACTAGATAGATTGGATAGATCGACTGGATAGTCTAGACAGATTAGATAGATGATATTAGATTTGGTTAGATGATATTAGATCAACAAATTCATAGACTTGATACATAGGTTGGTTGGAGCGATAGCTGTGTTGATTGCAGAAGATTAAGGAAGATCAGCTGAGATGAGACCAGTTAGTTAGATAAAAATATAGCTAGATAGAGCATAGAGAGTAGGTAGATTAACAGATACGATAGAGAAGATCTATTAGCCCGATAAGGTAGACAAGCTAAAGCAGTTGGAATACAATTGCTAAGATAGATAAGATAGACGAGACAGAGTTAAGGTGGCTGAGATAGTTCGATCCATTGGTAGATGGATAGGTAGATGGAAAGATAGAAAGAAGAGAAACAGACAGCCAAAGAGAAAGAGAGAAAGAGACAGAGAAAGCGAGAAAGAGACAGAGACAGAGAAAGAAGAGAGCAATAGGAGAGAGAGAGAGAGAGAGACAGAGTGAAAAGAGAGCGAGAAGAAACATAGGAAAGAGAACGGGAAAGTGACAGAGAGAAGAGAACCAGAAAGAGACAGAGACAGAAGCAGAGAGGAAGAGAGAGAAGAAGAGAAAGAAAGAACAACAGAAAGAGCGCGAGAGAGAGAGAGAGAGGGCGAGAGAGAAAGAGAAAGAGAAAGAGAAAGAGAAAGAGAAAGAAAAAACAAAAGACAAAGATAGAGACGAAGATCAAGATACCTCTACTTTTTCCTTTTCACGAGAATGGACGCCCAGATTCCGGCCTAGCTGCAAGAGCTGACGCATGGTCCTCGTTTCATTCGCACGGCTAAGGTGGTGCCCTGTACAAAGGTGGATTTCTTCCAGCGGCCGGGGGGCCCAGAGAGAGAAGCGCGATTGCCAGGAAGGCCTTCCTTGGGTCCTTCGCTACACTGGTATCCACCTGCGCGTGCAGGTGGCAGAGGTGTGTGTGTGTGTGTGTGTGTGTGTGTGTGTGTGTGTGTGTGTGTGTGTGTGTGTTTGCTTTTGGTTTGCTTGTTATGTTCCTTTGTTTGTTATTTTCATGTTGTGTCGTTTTCGCTTGCTCGGTTGGTCGCTCTGTTGGTGTTGGCCGGCATGCGTTTGCTCGGCTAGGAGCGCCCGAGGTACAAGCTGCGTGGGAGCCCCGAGCTCTTTAGGATTGAAGAGGCAGCTGGGAAGCGCAAGCCCCGGGAAGTCCAGGACCGAATGCCGCCAGACCCTGCAGCATTCGCATGCGCAAGACATCGCCGTGCGAAATCTTAGTTGGCGCAATCGCTCCCATCCATCCGCCACTTCATTTGAGTATGAATCGCGGGTGCATTTGCTCGGCCTTTCGCCAGCTCAGGGTCCATCGATCCATTGGTCCACTCAGGAGATCTTGCAGTCCCTGGTGCCGCAGCAGGGCGACACCGTGGACTTTTGGGAGGCCACCTACGTGCCGTTCCCCAACACCAAGATCAAGATCCACGCCGCGCACCTGGCGGCCAGCCTGGGCAGCAAGGAGGTCTTGGAGTGGCTCCAGGAGATGCTGAGCTGCACGCGGATCGCCTTGTTTTTTTTTTTTTTTTTTTCCTCTTTATATATATATATATATATCCGTTTTTGCCGTTCTTCCGACCCGCATCCCTTCACATTTGTTACTGGCCAATCCATAGCCGCCATAGCCCAGGCATTGCTCTCCAGACGTGCTGTGCTACCAGTCCATCATTGAAACCACCAAGGAGGACAATGGGCGCAAGCAATCTGAGCCTTGGTAAGCATGTCCTGCCAAAGCGATGCAACGAACGCACAACCTGAATGTCGGTCTGTCATTTGCGCGCTCTGTGTGTGTGTGTGTGTGCGAGAATGCCTGAGCCTACTATTTCATGAGTAATGCCAAGGCCGTTGAGTAAATCAGAGCAGGAATCAGCAGGTAATTTCTGATGAGGGGAAGTGTGCTGGCTTTCTATCTACGGATTGCGCTTACCGTCTGAATATCGCTTTGTTTCTGGAACAACTGTTTTCGAGCACCAAAAGTTCAAGTAATGTTGACAGTCCGGGCCTTTTCCTTTGTGCAGTCCCTGAATAACATCAAGGAGGTTTTATGTCATGGAATCGCTGGGTGTGCTTTTGTTGGCATGGCAGGCTGGGTGTTCTTTTGTGTGAGAGCAGACGAGGAGTGCAAGATGCACTATACGCCACTCCTGGCGGCCTTGTTTATGAGTGCCTTGGTAGCACGAATGTTACCGCACTGAGCTTGACACAGGGAGATCCATTGCCTTTTGAAGGTGTTTGCGTTTCAAGCGAGTTTTCAGAGTTGGATTTCGGAGGCACGGATGCTCATATTCTACCTATACAAGCTTGTGAGGCAGTATATGTCGTAGACCATTTGTATAAGTGGCACATAATCTCCGTACCTCCAAAAACCATGCTTGACCCTTCCTTCGAGTGTCAGAGTTGTCATCTGACAGGGCAACGTGATTTTCGACTGACCAGGCAGAGCTGTCCAACTGGGGGCACGGTTCGAACCCGTTGCCAATTGCGGTTTTGTTGTTGATCAAGACACGTATGTCAATGGAGATTGGCACCCAAACTTTTCCAAAAGCAGCTGGGTCAGTTCCAGTCAGACGACTTTCAATCTCTGTGACCGTGGTCAGGGTAGCAGCCCTTTTGCTTTGCCCCTTCCGCTGTCAAGGGTAGGGATGTCCCTTTGGTTTTGCATGTGTCGACACTGTCTGCGCGAGTAAGCAGCAAGAGACGAAGAGCACCATACCCATCTTGACATATGCCCAGAGGTTCGCAAATAGTCGTCAATTCTTACAGGGAGGCAGCGGTCTGAGTTTGACGCCTTGATTTGCCTGTTTGCTTCTCTTTGTTTACTTGCTTCTGGAATGGTTTCTTGCTTTGGCTTCTTCCGACGGTCCGAGGCCAAGTGGAGACGGCGATTTGGATCGTGGAGAAGGCCCCAGCCACCGCCACCATCCCCAACGCCGACGGCATGTCGCCGCTGCATATCATCGCGCCGGCCTCAAATTCGAGGGTTTGAGGGTAGGTTTCGGCAGCCCTCTCTCAGGAGCCCTCTGAAGCCCAGAAGAGTTGGGGTCCTTTTGGTTCCTGTTAAAACTAGCCCAAAAGGTACCTTCCAAAAAGACAGACCCAAGTAAGGCGTACAAAGGGTTCACATGGATGCCCCGACCGCCTGAGCGTGCTCGCTTGCTTCGGCACGCGCAGTCGAACAGGCACGAAACGCAAAACGAGCACGCCGACGAAGCGAGCATTGATTTTGCCGTAGGCAAACTGTTGTTCCAACTTTTGTCAGCGTCAGGATGTTGATGTTACTGACATTGCGTTTGTGAGAGTCGCGGGTATGTGAGATCACGCTTTACTCTCCGTGTGATAATCATTGCAGACGTGTTCTCGTTCACCAAACTGTCGGCAGCAACTGTGGCAAGGACTCAGGACATCTCAAGACATCGGACCTGAACCTCTCTGGGCCTCCCTGCTGTGATTCCTTTGGCCAATGTTGACTTGGCTAACTCAAGCTGCCAAGGCCACGCGCCGCGTCAGGCGGCCATGTTCTTTTGGGAAGCTAAAAGCCAGAACTCAGAAGACATTGGGTCCGGAATTTCCCGAATTTCCCGAGAATTATTTTTCGGGTCGGCGTCCAGCAGGGCCGGCATCTGATTCCAAGCCGCGCTGAGGCTTGGACGGGCCTTCCCTCGATTCCGGAGGAGACCCGCTTTTCGGCGCTGGAGCGGCTTGGCTGCCGGGAGTTGGAAGCGAATGCGCAGAGCCCAGAGGGCTGCGAGCCCTGCGCAGCTGGGTTTTTGTTCACACGTGCCCGCGTTATAGATCAGCTTGCCTTGCTTCAATGACTGAAGCTAAAGGGCCAAAAGCGGGGCCTCCAACTTGGTGCTTGCTTTCAGGCGAATAGCGACCACTTTGGTCGCGAGCAAAGCTGACTTGCTGCAGACAGTGAGCAGTTTAAAGCAGCGCAAGGAGACGTGGCTTGAACATGGGTCCGTGCGAGAGAGGTAGCAGCGTGGTTCATTGTGAGCTAGGGATGCGCTTGATGCGCTTGATGCGCTTGATGCGCTTGATGCGCTTGATGCGCTTGATCGCCCCAGGATGACTTTGCATCCCGGGTTCGGAACAAGACCGCGCTGGAGATTGCAGTTGGTCCAAAGTCCTCGTGCCCCACTCAGATTGACACGTCGCTTCTTTCCAGGCTGAGCACCGAGGTTTCCGAAGCAGATGCTCCACTTGCTGACGCGCCCCGGTTCGAGCCAGCGTGTAGAGTCGTAGAGCCTCGGGGCACCGGGACATAGAACCGTCGTTCCTGAGGCAGTCCTATCACTTCCCGACCAAAAGTCGGCTTTTCATCGAGGTCAACTTGATTGCGAAGGCCCGAAGCTTGGAGAAGCGCGAGTTGCATGGGGGGCAACGGGAAAGGTCTTTTTTTTTCTCCCCCCCCCCCCCCCGAGGCGAACCCCTATGCGGCTGTGCAGCTCCTCGGTGCGGTCCCAAGAAATCATTGTGTTGTGATCGGATGCGATCGGCACCTGGAATACTTGCACTATTCCGGCAAAGGGATTTTTGGGGCGATATTATCTTGGTGGCTCCCAGCCCATCCCATTGGTGGGGGCTCTGAGGACAGCCCGGTTTTGCCGTGCCAGGCAAGATCCAGGAGCGGGCGCCGAACCAAGTGCAAGAGAGCCTCCGCGCGGAAGTGATGAGCTACGTGCGGGACGCCAGCTCTGATCGCCCGGGACTAGGATGGTGGCCAAGTGTCTTTCCGTGCCGTCGCTACGGCTGAGGCCACATGAAGATGTTTGTGGAGACTCTAAAGTGGCCGGACTGCAGATTTCATGGAGGTCGTCCCAGCTCTTGTTGACACGGCAAGGTGGGATGAAATGAAGCCCTTGCTTGCTGTAGCAGTCAAAGGTTTGTGTCTTGTGCCGCGCTTCCACGCCATGTGCGCGATGTTTGCCTTGGTGCCTCTGCACCGAGCCTGCCATCTAGCCTCCAAGCCCTCTCGTGTAGAAGCCGCGTCGCCGGGTTTTGCCGGCAACCCATGACCCGAGGATGTCCCCCATCGCCGGGGCGAATCTGCTGGGCTTGTTGGTGGGGGAGCCGCGGGTGGTCGACCCGCAGAGGCCGGGGGAGAGAGCTCGGAGACCAGCTCTGAAGGAAACAGAGCTTCCGAAAAGTATTGGAGGGCCATTTTTTTTAGGATTTTTTTTTCGTTTTTTTTTAGGAATTATTTTTGTCTCGACCCAAAAGTATTTTAGGGGTGAGGCGAGTGAGGGTAGCTTCTTTTTTTGCCGGGGGGGGGGGTGTTTCAGTAGTCGGGGGCCTTGCCCCGCAAATAAATTGCTTCATACATACCCCCCACCCTACATTTTTTTTCATCTTCCATCTTCTACCCTTATTCGTTTTCATCATTTTTCTACATTCCTTTCTGTCCATCTCATCCGTTTTTTTATCATCATTTTTCCAAAATTTTCGCCATCCTTTTCTCCTTCCTCCTCGCCTCATTCATTTCATCATATACCTCTCAAAATGTCATTTCCTCAATCTCCTCACCTCATCCATTTCAAAAAAATAAATTTTGCAAAATATATTGCAAAAAATATTTGTCATCAAAAAAATATTCGAACTGTCTAAAAACGATTTGTCCATTTCCCGGACAAAAAATAGAACAGCAACAACATCACTCTCCTCCTTCGTTTCATCACTTTTATCATATATTTTTTTGGGGCGTGGTCGCATAGCTTGCGAGCTTCGCTAACGCTCGCATCCTCCTTGTAGGATTTTATCTTCAATATATAAAACGCTATACTGACATTATAATTATAACATATAAGGGTATAAATGTTATTATTATAGTATGATTAATAATTATGGGTTACATTTATAGTCAGGAAAAATGTCTTCAAATATGTAATCTACATATTTATCAATATCGCCAATGTCTATATATTTGATATTGTCTTTTCCTATTATTGAATAAATATATTCCCAGAAAAACAAATTAACTAGTAGCCATACTTGATATTTAGTGTTGTAGTAAGACCATACATGATATTTAGTTATTCTAAATTCATTCAAGACCTCGTTTATTTTATCTTTACTTAATAAATGCCAATCAATCGCATCAAACATGCCTCGAAATTTTTTAACAAATGCTTTATATGGTTTAATTGCGCTTGTCCCTCCAAACCTTTTAATCAAATCTTTATTATTGAAGAACTCATCAATTTCTTTTTCAAATGACTTTCTTGCAATTGTATGGTAAAAACATACAGGACATCGTTTTTGATATCTCATAAAGAATGTCAATTGTAATTGAAACTTTGTATATCCCTTATCCTTATGTTCTTCAACAAAAAACTGTTCAAGGTCTCTTGTTATACAGCATTGACTACAATATACATCATATTCACTTATTTTATTACATAGATTGGCGGGTAATAACTTATACAATGTTATATTAACATCATTCCTTTTAGTTGTACAACATTCGCACTTTGAATAATTAAATAACATTTCCACTGTAATATATATAGTGTTTATTTCTTTAAATACTTTTTTACAAGAAATAAAATTACATATTGAAATATAATTATAACATATAATATTTTACATGTTATTATTATATTATGATTATAATTTCAGTTCAGGATAACTATGTAATTGATATGTTTTACTTCTTTCATACATCATTTTAAAAATAAGATTAATATCTCTCACTGTATTTTTAACATTAAACTTTTCACTTTCAATATGTGATTTAATGATTGTTTTTACATCAAACCCTTCTTTTCTTTGATACTCCAACATCCATAATATGTAGTCAATCATTTCATACTTTTTCTTACTGATTTTCATAAATGCTCTAACATAATCATAAGGTGGTATTTTATACACAGTTAAAAATATCAAAATGTCATCTTCAACATGTCTTTCATTAAACCTTTTAATATCCAAATTACATTCGATTGCTTCTTGGTAATATCTCCAATTTCTACAAATTTTACATAAATTTTCTTTACCCAAAGAATAATCAATAATACTATTAACTATTCCATTAGGTAAATTCAATTTATATAATTCCATATTTTCTTTTTTTAAGTGGCAACAATCGTAGCATTTCTTATTGATATAATTATTGATTTCGGTGTCCATCATTTCTATTATAATATATATAGTTTTTATTTCTTTAAATACTTTTTTACAAGAAATAAAATTAAATATTGAAATATAATTATAACATATAATATTTTACATGTTATTATTATAGTATGATTATAATTTAAGTTCAGGATAATAAGTTAATTGATGAGTATTAAATTGTGTAAATATCTTACGTTTGTCATGCATCAGTTCAAAAATAATATTAATAGTTTTCACGGTATTTTTCACATTAAACTTATTGCTTTCAATATATGATTTAATGTCTTCTTTTAAATCAGACCCCTCTCTTCTACGATGTAACAACATCCATAAAATGTGGTCAATCAGTTCATACCTTTTCTTACTGATTTTGAGAAATGCTCTAACATAACTATAAGGTGGTCTTTGATACACAGTTAGAAATATTATAATGTTGTCTTCAACATTTCTATTATGTCTTCTTTTCAGATTTAAATGACATCTGATTAATTCTTGATTATCTCTCCATTCCTGACAAATTTCACATTCATCTTCTTCACTCAAAGCATAACCGATAATATGATTAACTATTCCATTAGGTAAATTCAATTTATACAATTCCATGTTTTCTTTTTTTAAGTGGCAACAATCATAGCATTTCTTATTGATATAATTATTGATTTCGGTTTCCATCATTTCTATTATATATATATATAGTTTTTATTTCTTTAAATACTTTTTTCCAAGAAATAAATTTATACCTTTAATAACTCATGTCTCAAAAATGCCCTGTCATAATTTTCAATATAATAATATTCCTGTCCTAACTTCTTTTCAATCTTTGCTATTTTGTAGGTTTGTTTAGTCCATACTCCTACTCTCTCCTTTTCATTTGGTCTCCTTTTCCTGAATATCTTAACTTCATTTCCTACATTTAAATCTGGATAAACTCTATTTCTTTTGGCTTTCATACCTAAATTTAAACTCACTTCTAATTGGTGTTTAGGCTTTCTTGCTTCTGACGGTGTTAAGCCGTGCGAAGTGTGCTTTATTCCATTGTTATAAGTTAATATAATCTCGTGTATGTAGTCTGTCCATTGAATAGCCTTTCCTTTTTTCTCATCGTTTTCAACCCTCTTATACAAGCTATCTTTAAACGTCCTTATCGCCCTCTCCGCAAATGCTGGGTGTCCTCTGGTTCTGTGCAACTCTATTTTTTCACCCTTCAAGAAATCTATAACACTTTGATTGTTATAAGCTCCCTTCATCGTCAATATAAATTAGTTTGGGCTTTCCACCCATTTTTTTAATACATTCCATCAGTCCTGCTAAAATGTCCGCTGGCTGTTTTGACATAAGCGGGACAACAACCATATACTTAGAAAATATGTCAATACACATCATGCCAACTTTCATTTTTTGTTTAGGGATATCATTAATGAAAAATAAATCAATTTGAAACTCATAATATGCGTTAGGAGCTACAAATGAATTCTGTCCTCTTGGCTTGGCTTTCTGTTCTACATTCTTCCTAAAAAACTCATTAATATCGTTTATAGTTATTGTGTTATCCTTTTTTCTTGCTTCTTGTAAAGTGCGGTTCTTTGACCCGAAGCCTCCCTTATCATAATAAACATTATTAATAATATCTTGCTTAGATGCCATATAAAATAAGATAGATATTATTTTTCCCGGCGATTACAGTTTAAACAGTAAGATATACAGTTTTCCTTATGATGGGCATAATCGTTGTTTATTCTTTGGGCTGTCATATTGCTATTTATTACTCCATTATTTATTTCTATGTCAAAATCTGAACTGCATTTATTACATCTGGTATTAAGCCTGTCAAATAACCATTTGACATCAATATATTGTTTGTTGTCTATCTCTCTCTCTGCTTTCATGTCTTGTAATTTATATTGTTTAATCTTATGTTCTAAATATCTGGTTAATTGTGCTTCATTTAAGTCAGTATCATCTACGTCTGCTTTGAAAAACTTGACTTTATTGATATCTCTGCATCTCGTGAGGGCTGTCCAAATCCACTCACGGCTGACCAAATGTGATTTATCCCATTCGTGTATAGTAATGCTTTTATCTAGAGAAGCCCCTTGGGACGAATGACATGTAGCACAATACGCATGTATAAAGTGCTTGTCTAAAGTCGTGGTGTTTGTCATGAATATAGTTTTACTTTTGATATCTTGGATTTCTACTTTCCAATCATCAATACTAATAATTTCATAAGTAATATTTACATTAAACACCTGCCCCATTTCTTTTTTATAAACTCTGCATATCACATGCTCTCCAATTTCATATTTATCTGTCTTTCCTAAATTATTTCTTACGGTTTTGCTCACCCATTTGCACCTAGCATTAGTATAGGCTATGTTATGCTCTCCTTCCATGATGTCGCTTGTAGTTTCAAAATGTTTATTTACTATTTCCTTAATGTGCAGTTTATTTTTCCAAATGTCATTATATATATCATTCAATTTAATTTTATCTTCTTCTGTCTTAAGTCTCTTAGATATCTTAAGATAAATCTTATATTTAAATATTTGATTAAGACGTGGTGGTCCTGGGTGTTAGTTAAATCAGCTATAGGTTTCAACTGCTTCCCGTCAGCAGTTCCTATAATTATCTTCTCTGGGTGCGTATCCTTAAACTCCCTAACTCTGTTCAAAATATAATTACCCGCCATACCTAGCTCATCAAACACAATACAATTATAATCAGAATGGTCAAATGTCGGTAGTCTTTCTCCAGCTTCTATTGGAATACTGAAAAACTTGTTTAATGTTACGGCGTCGGCTTCGGTTTCTTGCTTCTGCTTGTTATTAGAACATACGAATAACACATTATAACCTAGATTTTTCATATATTCGCCTATATAACTCTTGCCACTTCCAGCCAGTTTTGCTTTTAGTAAAACCGGATTACACGACACAATTTGCTCACAAATGCTTTTGGTGTCGTATTCGTCTTTAACACG